TCAGTTTTATATTAGCTTAGCCGAGCAAAGACCTATTAGTAGTTTGGAGGCCTACTTAGTCAGAATGGACGCTTTATTGTGATATATCTTTCCATTTCGAAAGAAAAGTTGGTTGGATGAAATTCATAAAATAGTCTGACAGGAAACCGAAGCACAATTGCGGCGGAGTGAAGTCTGTTGAATTGTACAAGGAAGTCCTCAACTCGCCGTCCTGCGATTCCAAATAACCTAGGCCAAAATTTCGTCTGTCATGTAAAAGGTATTGCCAAAGAAAGAAATCATACTTTGTGAAATACGATCTAAATACACTAAGTTAAGCTTACTTTTATTTGCTTAGCTAATTGTATTTGGAGGTTCTTATTATAAAGTATGCTTTCCCACTCTGACGATGTTTCTCTCATGGCAGACGAAAACTTAGCACAGGCTCTCCGCTGTCATAGGACAGTGAGCAGAGGACTTCGCACAATCAATCCAACATTGTTCACTCCGTGACAATCCGGAGTCGGTTTCTGGTGAGATCATTTCACGAATTCCGTCTAATCCACTTTTTTTATTGAAATTCAAAGTCATTTCATAATTAATCAGAGAGGAATTTTTTAAAAACATTTGTTCGCCTTCGTATTTTAAGAGGAAGACTTTTTTGAAGTTATGACTGTTGGTTTTTGTGCATTAACTGTGGTGAAGAGGGTACATCAATATGGATTCATCAGGATCAGGAGAGGTTGTATGATAGAATTTCAACGTAGGCTCAAAAGTTGATATTCCGAGAAAAGTGATCGCACTTTTTTTAGAAGGATTCAATTCTTCCGCATTCTTGTCATCTACCCAAAATTAAAAATTGGTCGTCCAACTTAGAATTATTGTAGACAATAGGTGTTGCGGTACACACCAAACATCACGATTTATTTGGGGTCAATTTAAGTTAATCTTCGAATATTGGCAGATCTCATTACGTGAATATTGCGACTTCATAAAGCTGGTGGAAGAGTAAATAATATAACACGAGTCTTTAGCTTTACGTTTCGATATCATTTCTATACAGTCTACTAGTCCGGAAGATGGAGCAAAGCAAACTTTAGAGTGATCATTTAGTCAGCACATTAAATATTTTACATTTAATGGGTAATTATACGAGGAAATGCGAGATTTAGCTACGAGACCTATACTTTCATTCTACTAAATAACCACATGGTCCAATTACAGGTTCATTTATATCTGATTAGGTAAATGTGGAATACTTAGTTTTTTGAAACACAATTTCTTAAGGTATGAAGACCATGATGGTGTGGCCTTTTGTGTGGTCGCAGTCTCCTTTCGTTGTATAGAGGTTGTTTGACTTTGTTTTCACAACATGTTCATATTGGTAGGAAGACTTATTGAAACGCACCTAATCCTGAGTCCATTGTCTGCATGATCATTTTCAAAGTTGAACCGTGGACGTGGTACATTCCCAAACGTTTCGCCTGCATCGTAGTCGGCATCGTCAGCGAGTATCGCCATCCTTAGCATCATACAGCAACTCGTCAAAGAGACAAGTGAAGCCAATCCTTTGACCAAACGTGTGCTAAACAATTATGGTATCTCCCCTTCTTCCCTGGGTTATTCGCGTTTCCAGTAGCATCCTATCATGCCTACACTATTGCAATTTTTTACCTTGTTTATTTAGATAGTGTGGTGTGCTCCTTTGGGCTACATGACATTTTCACTCTACAACTCTCGTTCTCACCACCCCTTCCCTAGTCTTATCCCAGTCTCCCTCTTGCTCGGTAAAATCCGTCTGCCCTACCCCTTGCCAAAACATCTGCCCTACTTGAGGCGTTATTCGCCCTCACCTGCGTCTGGGTAACTAATTCGAGGCGTAAGCCTCTGAGTGTCATGGTCATTCCTTTGCTACATGTACCACGCCTCTGGTACAACCGATCTACCGTCAGCCAACTAGCTCTGGTCCCCGCCGTTTTTATCCTGTTTCTATCCCTAATACCAAATCTATGATTTGCCATGCCCTACTCTCTTGTGTACCAACCCACAAACGTTGTGGTACAGCTTGTTTCGATTTGGTTTTATGTTGAACCACAACATTTGTGGGTTGGTATACAAGAGACTAGGGCATAGGAAGTAATAGGCTTTGTATTATAGATAGATAGAGGATAGAAACAGTGGTTAACGTGTCAAGCTCCCATTCTGCACTGTCGTGGTTATACTCCTGCTGGGTGTGTCGATAAGACCGATGCGAGGTCGAAACTGCACTCCACTTCTCTCTGGATGAGAACAGCTTTTGGGAAAGCAAGGAAATGTGAAATTCAATGGAGACGTCATATCTACTCACATAATTGTGGGAAAATTCTACTACCAGTCCTTCATCACCTTAAACGAAATAGGGTGAATGAATACGTCTTATATTAAATAAAATAGTTTTGTAGCCCAATTAAACTTGGAATTAGAAAAATATAATGCGCTATCTCTTTCGTATCCACAGATTAATAATTGGAACATCCAGCTGGGTAGATATGTTCAAGTGAGACAATAATAGCGGTTATCCTATCAAGTTCTATTCTAGTTTTTATATAGGGTTAAGGTAAGGATTGGGAAATCAGTGTTAGCGCAAATCTGCGTCTGGTGAGCGTAAAACCTCGGGACCAGAAAATTAAATATAAAAACCAAATGTTACAGGACAGAAAGAGGAGTGATAACTCAACTTGTGGGTGGAGAGTTGGTCAAAGGATTGACTTCATTTGTTTATGACGAGTTGTTGCTCGGCGCCGAGAATTGCAAGATTCACCAACAATGCCGGATGAGCGTCTGAGAATGTACCAAGTCCATGGCCGCGTCAAAACCAAATACACGCAGATAAATATATGAAGTAGCCAGCCAACTTATTTGAAATTTAATTTATGAGAAGGTAGGAGTGCACGCAGCAATCGTTTGCGCCATCTTGTTTGAAGAATTTTATTAGATAAGGGTTTCTTTTTTTGGCCTTGGTTGCCACGATGGGGAGAAAACAGTTCAGCACAGATTTTTCGGCACGTAGAACAGTGCACCGAGACCTAATACACCCAAATTAACACTCACAACTGCAAGAAAATCCTCTTTAGGTTCCTGGTGAGGCCAATTTTGAATCTCTTCCATGCAAATTTTTATGTGTAATGAAAATTCCTCTCTCTAATAGTCTCAAGTCATCCATCATTGTCCAGAAGTTTATTAATTTTATATTCACTTATTTTATGCCCAATAAAGGCATACTGAATTAAAATGTGCTCCCAAGAGTGTGACATCTCTGATTGTCACTTTTTTATAATAAAAAATGGCGCCTGATAGTTTAGTGGCAGCAAGTGTCGTTTGATGGTAGCAAGATAAACCCAACATTTCTTCGCAATATAAGGTGTTTCAGTTTTCCGGAAACTCTTACTGTCTGTTAAGCGTTGCTTTTAATCCAGAAAATCCATTCAGGCACATGGAGCAGACAGTATCTCAGAGGCAGTGTGTGAGTCGGACTAAGAATTAGTGATAAAAATCATATATGAGCATAAGTTATGTAGCACTGCTGAACTCATGTTATTGGGCCTCTTCGTCTTGCCTATAAGCGCGAAGTCAGACGCATCTCAGCCAACGACAGATAAGTACGTATAATTTTTTTGTTCATCATCCTCCGGAAGGATAAAAAATCTGGCAAGGTCTAGGCTGTACATTTCTATTGAAGATGTGAAGACCAAGATGTTGTGGCCTCGGGTACATTTCTATGTTTTTAGCCTTTTGTATGACAACACGATTAGGCTGCGAAATTGGTATTATCGCACTCTACTCTGGTATTATCTACTTTTAATCAATTCAATGATACGGCCGAACTTTCTTAACTTTACCTTTCTTCATTTACCAAGAGACATAGAATTAAGATGCCGTTTACTTTCAGCTATCAAAACTAGCCAAAGTTTTGCTCAATCAGTCTTTTACCGAGTTCTAATTACCCATAACTGCTATCCAAATTGATGATTCAGAGAAGTAAATTGGAGTCCAGTTGGTTGGTAAGTTCATGATATTGAAGCCAGTAAAGCTTTCGACAATGACTAGGCATCTGGCTAGCTGATAGTCATCGTATCTTCAACCTTCTCTTAAGGCGAAACGCGTCTGCCTTTTTCCTAAAATGAGTTCAGAGCCCAACTCCCCGATCCGTGAAATAGGTTTTGACCTTGATTTGAAGACGCGTGTCCCAGTGAGATTAGACCTCTCAAGATCATCTTCATAGTTCCTTCGAAAAACCACCTTTATGCATAATCATGCTGTCGAGGTGGCAGAAGAATAATGCTGATTGGGAATATTTGACACGAATTCTTTTTTTAATAACCACCTGCATCATAGGTCCACATGCACGGTATAAGTTTGAGAGTTTGTCTTATGTGACTACCTGTCGAGATGCATCCTTTCCTCATGGTGTTGTAGGAATAAATAAAGATCCTATTCACGATGGTTTGAAGAGGAGGCTTGCTTTTGCAGTACACTGTGAATTTCACAATTTCATCATCAGCGGGACCCGAACTTTTGGTATGAGCAAGCATGACTTCCGTGGCAAAGCAGGAGTCTCCTCAAATGCACCTCCAGTGGCCATGCTTGCCTGTCGATACCGAGGGCGTCCTATTCTGCATTGAAGACGATGCAGTGGAGCTGCAGTCGCAAAGTTCCGACAGGAAGGGTTTGCCTCTAACATTCGAATCCCTCTGGGTGAGCTGATGAAACGGAGAGAGTTGGAAATCCTGTCATCTCTTTATTTCCTCCTGAGTCAATGCGTCATTTGGTGCATTGTCATTACACACCGATTCATCATTTCTGCAGCATCATCTTTCTTCCAGAAAATGTAACGCGACAGTCCTATCCTCCTTGCCATCAGGCGATGGCCGACCCGCCTAAATAGTTACTGTATTTCCGATGAATCAAGATGAAAATGGGTGTTTAGATTTTACGTCGACTGTTGACTGTTGACTTGGCAGGAAGGACGGTTGTGGTAAAGACCAGAACCAAACCAGCGTGGATTTTGTAGGCAGACAGAGCCCTGGGGCCGACACCACAGTGAGAACTAGCTAGTAGATTATTTGACTATTTTGTCTGATATATGACACTTTTCTGAGCATAAGTGCATAGAATGGACTCTTATATTGCGTCGATGTAGCGTTCAGCCATCCTCACCAGGCCTACTTAGCAAGCCAATCAGGCATTCTTCAAAAGTCAACTATATTTGCAAAGCCAAATTGGACAGCCATCATAGGAGCCAGCCTCGACAACGAAGCAGTTGACAACAACGTCCACACTGGTAGAGGAGTCAAGTGAGCCTGTTAAACATTAATAGTTCTAATGACATCTTTAGACTAATTTGACTTCAGGGCTAGTAATACGGTCTAAAACCTCCCAAATGTTGCAGATATTAGTGTGAAGATTCTGAGTCTGATAAAACAAATTTTTAAAGTGAAAAAAGAGATTCTCACCTGTATCTCATCCTTAACTGTGCCAGTTCGGAAGGGAAGGAGGCTCTCGTAGTCAAGTTGCAGAATACCCGAATAAGTATTGACTTTAATCCAGCACTTGTGACTAAAATAGCATTGCATCGCTTCTAACTTCAACCATTATGCAGGAAGAAAAGAAGTGGGCAAATTTGATGAAAAGTTGGGCTTCGAAGAATACTATACTTTTCGCTTTCTGTAAAAGTTGGTGGAAGGGTAGTAGCTGATGAGAATCGATTTGGCTAATAGTCTTTCATGCACTATCCAGCCACCCTCAAGTATCCATGATGGACCACTACGCGTCTAGCTGTCGTCCTCAGAGCGAAAATCAATCATTTTTGACCAGCTTTACTCGTTTTTGAGGGTTTCTGTCACTGCACTACAGACGAAATTATGCATGGATTCATCCAAGTCCAAGTATGATGCACCAAGTACTACTAAGCGTAAATCTATCCTCACGCATCGATACCCTTCCACCATTTTTCCATCGAAGCGAAAAATGTATAGAGCAATAATGGGATTCTTCGAAGCCTAACATTTTACCAAATTTAACCAGTTAGGGAAGATCGCCTCGTTGGGTTTAAGTCACCATATCTTGATTATTTTGTTTATAAGTAAAGTTTTGAGACTGCAGTTAATAAGATGTGTTCATCCCATTTCGTTGGAGGTGATGAAGGACTGGTAATTGAATTTTCCCCCAATCAAATAAGTAGACTTTACGTTTCCAGCGAATTTCCCAAAATATATACTTTGGGAAGCAAGGCTATTTGAAATTTCATTGAAACGTAAGGTCTACTCATATGATTGGAGGAAAATTCAATCACCAAACCTTCATCACCTTATACAAAATGGGGTAAACTCATCTCATGAAATCTTGGATCAAACATAATGAGGCTTGAGCTTCTGACCTATTTAGCATCGCAAGAATGTTTGATGAATTCTGTAGGATTTTCATGCTATAAACTCCTAATCCTCTTGTTTTCATAAAATAACTCATCTTCTAATAAATTTGGTGCAGCTGATGGGGAAGCTAAAGCCTTGAATTCAGTCTTGACCTGTTAAACGTTCCTTTTTTGAGCCAGTCTCTTAAGATTGCATGTTTTTGTCAACTTTTGATCTTCTTTGTTGTGTACGTTAAATGAACACAATTCCATCTGAATTGTGGAATCCTGAAAAACTGATAACCTGACTGAGAAAGTGGGTTTCGCCTTGCTGACAGAGTGGGAACGCAAGAAGACACCAAAGTAAATTGTGCAAAGTAGCGCTTATAGAGAATTTTTATCTTTTCCTGCTCTGTTCTGACTTTATTCTCCATCTAAGGCGTGGGTAAAATGCTATCTGGTGGTTAGGGGAGCATTTGACTAGGATTTAGGGTTTTTATGATAAAATAAGCGAAAATGAGTGAAAACAGATAATTGTGAGGTTGTAGCTGCCGTAAATATCATTAAAACTGCAGGGAATGGTTGTATATATGCTCTTGTGGCAAAGTATTTGCGTGTAAACCATAAATTTTGATGCTTGAGTAAGAAGTGAAAGTGTGCACCAATGAAGTGGAAGGAAGAATCTAGGGTGCCCAAATTTTCACCCCCTGGAAAGCTAATAAGTTTTATATAGGAGGGAAATTAATGCATATATATAAATATATAAATTAAAATAAATAAATAAATAAATATATATAGAGAGAGAGGAAGTAAGGCCCCACTTACTTTACATAAATGTTTTAACTTTCAAACTCTATAGTTCTCTG